TTTTAAAGATGTAGGTATGTGTCATATCTCAAAGTATTATAAAAATTTCGTAGATTGTTTTGAGTATAAAAAGAGGACGTTAAGATTTGGTTGTTTTCGGTTAACATAAAGCAATTTTGAGATATAAAAATTATATTTCATAAAGAGTCATTTAAACAGAATCGAGTGTTGTATCATGGGAAAATCGTTTAAAAAAAAAAACGTTTTTTATTTCAAAGACAATAAATTCAAAAAATGGTAAGTAAGATATTAAGATATTCCCAGAATTACGCAATAAAAATCGTGTTATTGATATTTAAAGCAACAAAAACTATTGTACATTATTAGTACGTACAACTTGAAAAATATGTTCCTCAAAACTATAGAATTCGAAATCAAATAATTATTTTGTCTCAGACTCTTTGTCGTTCGATCAAAAATTTTCTTCGCCTTATGTGTTTAAGTAACAATACAGAGTCCTTGTTGCTTAATTATCGAGACGTTTTAATGTCTTACTTAATAATATATATCAATAAATATGATAACATTAGATTTATTGTCTTTGATTTTGATTTTTCTCATGTTTTCGATGTTTCCCCATATGAACGATATACCTATCACTTGCGATTCCACTTAAATAGTTTTAATATGATATATAATTTGTACAATACAGAACACTTGTTCATGTAAGCCGGAAAACACAATTTGAAACTCCTTTAAACACTCTCTCTTATTGATTTAAAGGTTATTTTTTGTTTAAATTTGATTTTTATGTAAAATTGCTTTTGTAGTACTTCTTTAAATATTTTATTTAAAAGTATTATTATATATACTATATATATATATATATATATATATATATAAATCAAATCAAATTTCTTACACATACTAAACAACTCCAATAAATATTCAAAAAGTTTATTTGAACCCGCTCACTTATTTCAAAGTTATTTACCTAAAAATATAAAATATGGTTATTGCATTGTATAAGTCGTTATAAGTCAAAATATTAGTTGCTTTATTTTTTGTCATTAATATTTTAAAGCATTCACAATCAAAATTTTTCATAACATTTCAACCAATCTTTGTACAAATCTTTGTTGTTCTTTTTTTAACTGATAGTGTACAGCCAAAATATATCATTAAACACTCTATACAAACTTTAATTCCATTACATATTGTAGGAGAAACAAGAGAGATAATCCGATTTATTGATACAATAAAGTAATGATAGCTTCTTAAAATTTTAATAGGAACTTCCATGGTGGAAATTCTTTCCACCATGGGAACTTCTTCGTTTACATCTCAACGCAAATCCTTCTCGCCAAACATTCATCTCTCAACTCGTTGCCAGGCAACACACACAACAGTCGCATCTCAAGTCGAGAACATTCTTCGATAGCAGGGTTTCTTACAATATGGAGTATTAATTATAAAACAATGAAAAACAAGAAATTATATGTATAAAGATTTCAACGTACCAACACACACATTTTTCTAATTATAATCCCCTTATTTTAAAATAAGGCTTTCATCTCTAAAATTTACAAACACGCGCGTTCATAGTAATAATAATACAAGGAAAAAAAGTATATAGAAAAAAGTAGATCTTACTAATTAGTGGAATGTACTCGGCTAATGTGTGTTACATTAGCATCATAGAAGTAAATGTGTGAATCAAGAGAAAGCGAGGAATCGCGCTTTCTGTGGTCCGTTTGATCATGATCGTTTGATGATGGCACCAAAGAGACCTCGAGAACCTCCTTGATGATAAGACAGACCATCAAAAATACATAGAAGGAGAATGATCTATTCGAGAAAGTGCGTCCGTACCAAGAAATCGGTACATCGATAGAAAATGTTCTATAGCTAGAGCGCAAATTACATAATTATGTGAGTAACATAAAATGCTACATTTTATCGAAAAATATCATTGATATTATCATATTAAGCATTTATAGAGGTCATCAACATTACAGATGTATCTCATTGACATGTATATAAGATACAAACAGTAAATTTGCAAGTTAATAATAGCCAATGATAATACGTAATATATTGCATGTCGTACATTTATCGGTCACAATAGTAAACGTATAATCTTTGATTAGGTTTTTTTTGCGGAATTATGTACAAAAAGAATTTGTACAATAAGCAACACATTAATATTAATAAGAAAAACGGTAATAATAGATAACGATAGAGATAAATTACGAACTGGCTCAGTTATCAAGTAAAGTACACAATGTCACGTTAAGTGTACTATTGACATAGAATTTATTACATGATAAAATTTAGTGTTCCATTTTCTATGTTCTATTACATATATCAAGTTCACGATATATAGAAAGAATCAAGCATTCCGCGACTAGTCGTAATCTAAACCCACAAACTGTTTTTGAACAACGTTTGCCGATAAACGTTTGGCGGTGCCGAGCAGCGGTTTTCTCCCTTAAATGATCTCTGTAATACGACCGCGTCGCGGTAGATTACAGGCAATTACACCCGTCGTTCAGACGAATCGTAGTCGCGTAGTTGGAGGTCGGCGCGGGTTATTTGGCGTCCCCGAGGGCAGTCCTGTGCAATCCAGGAACTTCAATATTTGGTATAGGTATACCCCTGTATACTATCGGGATAGTCTTCGAACCGGTTTCCTCGTGTGCGGCTTGATGACGTGCAAATTGGGTTACTCGCCCACGGGAATCGCATAATTGAATTTTGTCAGGTGTGCTTATTATCGAGCACACCTTCCAGTCGAGTGATAGAATCGAGATTTTCGGCGCCCGATCTTGCTTATCCGTTCTCATTTAAAACGCGTTAGTAAGACTGCGATGTGCATTTGTTTGCATAGCTAATTTGCACAAGCCTATGGCAGAACCTGCAGGTGGAAACAATATTCATCAAATTGTCGATTTATACTTGATTATTTTCATTAATATTAATGTTGTATTACACAAAACGAAATTACTGCAGTAATGTAGGAAACGCATTTAACATTAAATGAGTAATTGTCTCGAAAAACCTTTTACTTCCGGACTACAGCGAACAAATATAATGTGATGCGTGAATATCGCCAATTTTTTTTTTAAGTTAATCAGTAATTTTTCGGAACGTATACATATATGTCTAAATTATGAAAATATCATACTGTCTATGAATTTTTAAAATGAGTCTCTAGGTACACACACACACACACACACACACGGTTGTTAACGTCTGTAGAGACAAATATTATAAATAAACGTTACATTAACCCATTGTTTAACTGAACAACTCCGAGTTTTCCTCACGAGAACTACATTGAATAAACTAATCTATTTCAGTCATCACAAACACTAAGAAAGCCGTATATTTTTAATAACTATTTAAGGACTTGTAAAGTAAATGTCGTCCGCTCCAACCAGCTTGTTGGCTCACGACATGAGTCTCCACTTTGTAAGTTCCTTCTGCGCAGGAAGTCCCATGTAATTCACTAGCGCTACTTGTAGCAATATACCGCCTTCATCTACCTAGAAAACGTTCCTCCAGCCTGTTCGTACTCACAGGAAATATATTGTAGACGCGTTTACTATATCTCCCTACCTCCCTATAAGCAATAGATAAAAGAAATAAAAATATTGTCTTGAATTCACACGATATCCAATACTATTTCGTGTAATTATAATATTTATTTAGCATGCAAGTGCATAAAGAAAAGTAAACTAATATATTAATAAACTGATATATAATTTAAATGTTGTCAAAACACACATTCAGAGAATAACAGGGAGAATTCCAAATAGTCACATCACTAAGATAACTTGTTTTTATTATGGTACACTGGTCATACACTGGAAAATTATTAGGTTCTAATCAATGTAAGAGAGTGTGTTCACCTAGAATGTGCGTATCTGAGACTTTCTCAAAAAGCATAGCAATGGCAACTATAAAGGTGACAAATATACACACAAATTGTATGTAGAATTAATGTATACATAACTGAATAAACTAACGTGTATAGTTGAATAAACTAATATGCATAATTGAATAAACTGACGTACATAGTTAAATAAACTAATGTACATATGTAAATAAATTTTATAGTTATCGTATAATAATTATAAAATAATTTATTTAATTACGTACATTAGTTTATTCAACTATGTACGCATTGGTTCTATGTATATAAAATTTGTTTTTTTCAGAACAAACTTATAATTATCTCTTTTATATAGTTATCATTACGTCTCTTTCTCTAAATGTGCAGTATATTTAAATGAGCATTATATATAAATAAAATAAGAGCCTCATATGTTATATAAGTTGTTGAATTGCAACACAAATAATATATGAACAACTTTAATGCCGAGATTAGCAAACGCGATAAATAAGTCGTCAGCTATGAACGAGACCTTGCTGAATCAAGCTTGCAAATACAAGCGATAGCGATGCTTGCGCAATATAATAAGATTTGACTTACCATATAGTCAATTACGTAACATAGTATGCATAATGGACGTTTCACGAAAGCTCCGGGTGTGACCGGATAACTACCACCCGTCCCTTCCTGCATGCAGCAAGGTCGGCCAAAGTAAAGGAAGAAGAATGAAGTAGATGTGAAAGTCGCAATGTCAGAAGTCATAAATTCAACTATAGATAATGCGATGTAAACAACGGAGCGTACTTCTCATTCGCTTCTATTGCTCCGTCAGATAAAGAGAAGTGACGCGACGAAATATTCCGCAGCACAAGAACCGAGAGTTCCAAGACAACGTTTCGAAAGCTATTATCCTCCAGCCGTAAGAGACTAGGAAGGACGGTATAGTAGGACCCTTCGTGTGACGTAACCGTATTCTGTTCCATTTAAGTTAGCTCTCGGGTTCCACGGTTTCGGCGTTGCTCACTCTAACTACGCGTCCGGAAGATCGCCGTTCTGAGATTCGCAACGTGAACACGCAACGTGAATAGTTTCACTTCCAATAAATCGTCCAATACATATTTATTATCGATTTCGACAGCTAAGCGTATGACATAAAGTTTGTTATCAGCAAAATTTTTCGGTATGTATGACAAAAGCAAATATGCGAATGAATATTGATGGTTAAACAGAGATCAACAGTTTGATTTCTTCTCTCAGTTATAATAAGTAAGTCTTGTGTCAATATCAAGTTAATTGTGACAGTTAAATAACATAAAAATTAAATTCAGGTTAAATAATATTAAAAAAATTCTCTAGGTTTGATAAAATTCAGTAAAAATTCAGATCATGCAATTCAGTGTTATTAAAAACATAGATAAAGTTTCTTTTTTACGCAAAACGAAAGCGTATCTCTCTCAGTGCAGTTTACATAAGTGGATATACATTAAATGTTCACGTTACTGTAAGTAAACCAAACAAACGATATTTTGTATCAAAATGTTATCCTTTTTTGCATCAACATTTGCTTAAAAAAAAAAAACAAAAAACTACTTTCTAACACATCGAAGAGAACAAAGATGCATGCTTGCAATCGTACGAAATTAATTTTTATAACTGCAATTCGTTCAGAGTTACAAATGATAACTCATATTGAATGTTCGAACATATGCAGCAATTTTTATAATAAAAAATACTCGTATGTTACACATTGAACAATTTACTGCTACGCAAAAATAAAAAGTAGATAATTTTTCTATTATACTCGTATTGGTAACGCGCTTGTGTACTTAGCACTTACGATTGGTCTCCAAGCCATTACCAGCAGCAGAAGTACCATTATAAAGTTTGATCGATTTTTAACAGTTAAAAATATCACAATTTTTTCTGAGTGTTCTTTTTGTTTCACATAACATTTTTTAATATTTCATTTCAAAGCTTTACATAGCTTTTGCTAAAACTATAAAATTTAATTATTTTATGATCAGATTTTAGAAAAATTTGTTCACGATTATACTTGCGGTAGAAAAGTAATACGATTCGCGGTAAAAAGTAACATATTTATACAATAATAATATATTATACAATATCATCGCGGCAAGAAAAAAATAAAAATTAAATTGATTTAAATCTTTTATGGTTACAGTCTATTTATACAAAATCAGTTATGCAATTGTTATAAATGCGGAAAAAAGCGATAATGTAATACATTTGTATGTGCAAGTCGAGAAACTCTTGCACAGTAAAACAGTCGATATAATTTTAAATATTAAAGGAAATACATGCTTGAATTGAAAACCAAAAGCGGCGCTGTTGAAAAGCATATTCTAGACATATAAATTCATTGCATCTCCAAACTTAAAATTTCTTTATACCTAATCGTGTGAGTACAAGTATATTATTTCATATACATATTTATCGTAGCACTTCACAATGACTATTTTCAAATCAAACTTGTATTATTGACAGGCGTCATAACTGACTCGTCGCGAAATTGACGTATCCTATCGTTGAAAAATGATTTTTCGCCACCAAATAAATGAAAAATGTACGCGCTGCGAAGTAAACGAATGTCAATGTATGTGAATCCGATTAAACGACAATTCAAGCCGGAGATAATCATAATTTCCTCGATATAATATCATAGATAATGTATTATACATCTGACTGCGAACAGATTTTCAAACTTTCAGATATTTATGTTTAATATTGCACGTGTCTAGTAATTTCTTAAATTCATATGTAATATACATATGACTGTAAGATCCACTTGGTATGACAAATGATTCGAAACATATAATTAACAAAATCGGAAAAAAGAGTTTTACTAACAGTGATCAATCGAAAAATGTTTCAAAGCATTTATGACATCAAATGGACGTTAATCTGTAAATCTTATTTCTTGCGACACGTTTTTCAAATATATAAGTATTAAATCGCTTGTTATATTATAAAAAAACAACAAAAGTAAAGTGTTAATATTCGGTATAAACAAGCAACGATTTATCAGTTGACAAATTTATTATAAAAAATTCAGAATTAAACACGAAACGTTTCGACGCTTACTGCAGTCCTCTTTTATCTCAAATACATAAAGATATCGAAAAACATATAACAAATCCAATAATCTATGAGCTATAACTCAGATGTCAAATGTTCTCTCTTAGTCAATTGTAAAATAAAGGAAAGAAAATTGTCAAATAAAGCTGTTTCCGCATCGTGATTCTATGGAATTATTAATAAAATTAGGATTTAATTAGAGGATAAATAAAACCAAACTAAACATGAAGGTATATCTAATTTACGTAAATTTCAGATACCCATATGCAACTTTCTTTTCTTCAATAAAATTATTATATTATTACAACAGAGATACATTGTGTGTAAAAGACAGTTGTCAGAAGAATAAAGGAAATTATGATTTTAGCAATTCGAAATGTCAAACTTATTTATTATTATGAGATATATCAAAAGAAAATACCTATTATATGCTTTGTCTAATTTTTCCGTGTCAATTGCGCTTATGTTCCTTTACTCTTGTGATCAACTTTCTTTTAGTTTGTCCAACATAAGACGAACTGCAATCATTACAATTAATTTTATACACTATATTATTTTTTTGTATAGTATCTGTATTGTCCTTATGCACTTTAATAATACTACTAAGTTTATTAATACTCCTGAGTCCTACTGTAAAAACTTCTTTATTTAAATTAGATGTAATATAATTTGTGATATTTGGAATGAATGGTACAACAAAAAGTTTTTTATTAGGAAGATGCAATTTGAGAGGTGATCCATTGAAATATTCTGTAATATCTGAACATTGCACTCAATATAAACATTCATTTGATTGGAATAATGTTCAAATTATGGATGTAGAGTCTCATTACAACAAGAGATTGATTTCAGAAATGCTTTATATTAAAGAACAGAAGAATGGCATTAATGCCCAAAATGACACGGAAAAATTAGAAAAATCATATTTTGTTTTGATATATCTCATAATAATAAATAAGTTTGACATTTCGAATTGCTAAAATCATAATTTTCTTTATTCTTCTGACAACAGTCTTTTACACACAATATATCTCTGTTGTAATAATATAATAATTTTATTGAAGAAAAGAAAGTTGCATATGGGCATCTGAAATTTACGTAAGTTAGATATACCTTCATGTTTAGTTTGGTTTTATTTATCCTCTAATTAAATCCTAATTTTATTAATAATTCCATAGAATCACGATGCGGAAACAGCTTTATTTGACAATTTTCTTTCCTTTATTTTACAATTGACTAAGAGAGAACATTTAACATCTGAGTTATAGCTCATAGATTATTGGATTTGTTATATGTTTTTCGATATCTTTATGTATTTGAGATTGAAGAGGACTGCAGTAAGCGTCGAAACGTTTCGTGTTTAATTCTGAATTTTTTATAATAAATTTGTCAACTGATAAATCGTTGCTTGTTTATACCGAATATTAACACCTTACTTTTGTTGTTTTTTTCAAATATGTTGATTCGCTGTCTTCTTCCTCTGACAGTCAATTGGCAAGTTAGTTGACAAATTATTTGACATATTAAAAATAAAAATAATTGCAATCATATAAAATAACTATGTATCTTCTCTATTTTTGTCAGATACGCATCTAACGGTGTAGATTTGACATAAAAATGACAAAAAAAGTATTTGAACCTCTACTTCAATTGTGGCCTCAGTGGTTCGCAACTCTAACAGGTTAGTTAATTCACAAAAGTGTAATTTAAGATTTGCATTCAATGCAAAAGATTGATATATCTTTATGTATCTTGTACATCTTCTACAAAATGACTGAATATTTGCATCAATTTCTTAGAAAATGTTGTGTTTCAGTGACCTTATTGACCATTAATATTGGTCTCGCAAACGGTTGGACTTCTCCTTACTTGGCGCAACTGACCGATGAAAATGCGCTGTTTCATGTAACGGACGAAGAAGGGTCTTGGATAGCCTCTCTATTACCACTCGGACGCCTCTTGGGCGCCGTCATTGGACCTCTCATTTTAGAATGTATTGGTAGCAAAATGTCTATCCTATCAACGGGATTACCAATGATCGTCAGCTGGATTTGCATTATATTCGCTACTTCCCCCACATGGTTATACGTCTCAAGAATACTTTCAGGTAATATTGATCATAGTCATTTGCCACAACTGTTGGCACAAGATAAATCAATTCATCAAGCATATTCTTCATAGAGCTTAATCGTATCGCTTTCATATATATATATATATATATATATATATATTCACTAATTTTCCGATCCTCCTTGTCTGTTATATTCTGACGTTTTAAACAATCGCTTTCAATCTGGCGTCCATTTTACAAGATCTCATTCCTAGACTTGACTATAAACTTAATCTATGTAATTTTACATCTGTCGAAAAATTACATCATCTTAATCAGGTACAGCAATGGGAATGATAGTCAGCAGTTATCCGCTTTACATCGGTGAAATTTCGGCGCCATCAATTCGCGGCGCTTTGGTATGTCTGATCATGAATGGATTTCCCTTAGGCATATTCTTTGGTAGTATGATGGGTCCCAATATGTCAATGATGTATTTCAGTATCATTAGCTTGGTAATGATGCTATGCTACATGATTATTTTTCCATTTCTGCCACAATCGCCGTATTATTACGTAAGACACAATGACACTAAGAGGTAAATACGATTATTTTGTTTGCTTAATTGCTTCACAAAACAGATATTCAAATATTATGTCCGACCATGTTATTATGTTAATGAACTATAATCTTACCTAAAAAAGAAACAGTAAATGTTTTTTTCTATTCAATAATAGTATCTTATTTAAGTAATCTATATAATGTGACAGAAACGAAAATTAACGTTCATTTAAAGCAACGGATATTATTCAATGTTCAGTATGTACTAATATTTCGATAGTTTAATGTTCAATAATAATATAATACATCATATTCTCAAATAATATTGTGCATAAAATGTATGCGTTAAATAATTGTAATAAACATAAACTTTATTAATAACAGAGTGCACTATTCATCATTATTAATATAGATATTAAATGATTTTAATTATTAATTTTCTAATTATTAGATATTAAATATTTTAAATAGAAAAGAAACATGAGAAGTGTTGTGTTTAAAAAGTTTGTTTTATTTTTATATATTGTGTTTAAAAAGTTTGTTTTATTTTTATATTGATAACTTAGTTCTCTTAAGTTCATGCTTTTTTAATTATTCTTCTTGTTATTTAAATTTTCTTAAATAAAATCATATAATTTTTATATAAATTAATTTTTTTTTCAATGTTCTACATAAAAATATTAAATAGATCTTAAAAAGATGCATGTTTCATTTCAAGTATAAAAATGTTTCATTCTGTCATATTAGCTTTTTGATAAAAAGCTTTCATTAAGAATTAAATGATATATGGGGAGACAGAAAAACACATCCATATTTAACTTTCTATCAATAATAGGATTAAAAACAAGACCACCGTTTATTTGAATAAAGTCCAATAGCATACCAAATATTACTTTGACTTTAAGCGAGGCTTAAAACTCTCACTTTCCTTCTTTAAAACCGAGAAAGAGGGAGAGACAAAGAGATCCCAAGCCTTGCTTATAAAGTCAAAATATTTGATGCACACGCACATACACGCACGCGCGCACACACAGTTGGGCCTAACAACTAAATATGAAGAAGCACCACTTAGATTAAAAAGCTAACCTTCTATCTATTGTTTTATTTAATAGTTAATTCAAATAGTGAACCAAAAAGGAAAAATAAACAATCAAATAGTGAGATAATTCGAACGCACAAAAATAAACTATTCAACAAACAAAATGTATATTCACTATATGATTCCATATTATAATTAATTTTTATCTAAAACAGTTTTTTTTTTTTTTTTATATAAATGAAATATGATAGAAAAAACGTTATATCCCGCCACATAAGAAGGTACCACCAATTTTAAAAAATGCAATTCTAAAAATTTTTTTATATACTTTTTTAAATAAACGTTTATATGTATATGTATAAAATTAATGTAATATATCTAAAATATTTCATTCTTATAAAAAATTTTTATTAAATCTCTATTTCAAATTTCTATTAACAGCAAATAATTTATTGTTTAATAATTATGTAAAAGTATTATATTTTTTATGAAATTATTGATTTCTAAATGAAAATGAGTATTGCATCTGTATATATTTTTTTGCTTGAAAATATTTTTAAGCACAATTTATATTTATTACGAAAAAATAGAAAATATTATATATAAAAAATATAACGACAAAAAATATATTTATACATTGCAAGTGTATAAAAAATAAAATTGATAATCGTAAAATAATTATAATAATTGAGGAATGTACATTCTTGATATATTTTTTTAAAATTTTGATAGACTAATGAGATACTTTTCTGTGTTATTTCCATAATTCTAGAGCGGAACAAGCCATTCGGTGGTATTATCGAAAACCTGATATAAAAAACGAAATAGAAGCCGTGGAACTTTTCGTGAAATCAACGCGTACAATGAACATGAGAGAACGATTGGAACAGATAAAGGAGCCAAAGAATAGACGCTCTTTCATAATGATGATATTACTTTTCATGTTTATGCAAATGAGTGGACTAAATACTATTGTATTTTATACAGAAATTATTGTAAAGAAGGGAAAAGTGACATCAATCATGCCTTCAACTGTAGTAGTCATCATCAGTGCAGTCAGTATGTTTGACTTCCAACATCAATGATGATATCAATTATCTTTTCATTTCGTGTTATCTTTTATTGACAGAACTGTCACAATAATTAATTATCTCAATTATGATATAAGGTAATTCCGATATTTACGCGAGAGGATTTAAGCCGTAAGCAAATCGACCAATCACAGTAGAAACAGTAATATAAGCAGTAGCAAATCCAACATTTCCTTATTGTTTAAATTTTACGTCTTAAGTTTTTCTATGTGCCGTAACCTTTACGTTGCAGAAATAAAAAAAAATAGAAGGAGTGGGAATAATGTGCACGCAACCACTCTGTTATACACTAAATCTATAGTATCAAATCTAATTTAAATCGTCACTGCTCCTGCTCAATATCTCATTATTTTATATATATTAACACAATGATTAAACTATATGACGTTATGCGATAACAAACCCCGTTTATTTCTGTTGACGTCGTTTAAGAATTAAATTATTTTGTCCAATTATTATTATTATTATTACAGGTATAATTATCGGCTGGATGGGCATATATGCCATCGATCGATGCGGTCGCAGAATCCTATTAGCAATTTCGTCTTTTAGCGTGATGGTCGGCACGGCGTTGTTAGGTTTACATTTCTATTTGTTAGACTACGGCTACGATCCTGGTGATCTCGAGTGGTTGATTATTCTATCATTACTATTGTTCATGACGATGTACTTCGGACTGATACCGGTGCCCACTACAATACTAAGTGAAATATTTCCTTCTGATCTGAAAAGCTTAGCTGGATTCTTTGGAAGCATTACGTCAGCGGCTTTCGCATTCGTCGCCTCAAAGACATATCAGCCATTGGTAAACCTTATCAGCGAGAAATTTGTCTTCTGGATATATGCAGTAATCATGATGATGAGCTTAGTATATGCACTCACCATGGTGCCAGAGACAAAAGGAAAAACGCTGCAGGTAATTCAGTCACATATTGCATATTATTTCGTTACGAGATATAGAAAGTTTTACAATATTATGAGTTCAGTGTAAATGTTGCATGTTTAATCATTGTTGACATTAACAGGAAATTCAAGATATGATGACTGCGAGAAGTGCTAGTAAAAGATCACCACAAGAGACACGCGAATGAAAATATTTAAACATAGCAAATTTTCTAATTCTCTTAGAATATAGAATAATGATTAATGTAATTATGAAAAAGATCCAATCATGAAAGATAGGTAACAAATACTTTTGTTAATAATGTATATATAGGTATGATTTATATAACAAAAATTGTAAAAATGATTACAAAAAATAATCTAATTATAATCAACCAAATAAATCAGCAAAAAAATTTAAGATTAAGCGTAAATGATAATTTAGAATAAAATATGAAAATAGATGAAGCGATGATGAAAAAAATCGTAGATATTAAGTTAGTTTAACATTATTTTAACTATTATTTTTACATATAAAAAATAAAATATCAGCAATACTTGCACAAATCTTAAGTTTAATTTATAATTAGAACACATAATTATAATTAGAACACAACAATATACAAAATATGCTTACAACATTTGTTCTCGAATCACACGTATATATAATAAATATTTTAATATTAAAATAAAATTATATTATTATAAATATATTATATTCTATTTATTTGTATAAAAAAATCCATTTAAATATGTCAATATACATATATTAAAATTTACTCAATTTTATACATAATTTCCACAATTATACAATAATCAATAATCGATCAAAATTCAAAGTTGAGGAAAAAATATTATATAATATTATTAAATGAAAAGCGTTGTTAAGAAGAAAATATTATATGTTATTAAGACAACACAAATTATTCAGATAAACCAAAAGTTTTCTCATTTCTTTTTAAAGGTATATTTAAAGTATACATGTTTTATATATAAAGTTAAAACTTCTGTCTCTGATTAAACAACTAGTCCTGTTCCATTTTTTATCTTCCAGGTTCTCTTACATTATTCTGACTATATTAAATAACTATACATAATTATGCTTAAGAAAGATAATTAATGAATAAAAAAAACGAGAATATCTTTTATCTAGTCCAATATTTTGATCAATTAGTTATTTCCTAAGTTTAGATAACCTGACATATTTCTATAAGTAGGCTACTAACTCAATGTGATAGAAAGAAATAAATATGATTCCGAGTTATCCTTGTTTTGTTTCCTGTAAGGACATGTATGCGTCCTGTCTAATTGTAAGAGTATACGATGTAAACTGAGCAGTAATTATCCGTATGATTTATATATGTGTTAGTGCAAGAAATTAAACATGGCGTTGCCCAACCCTGTCTTCAAACATGACGGTAAAATCAGCAGTTTATTTATAGAAGTCTGTAGATAACACAAACTCCTAGCAAAAAATTATTTTGAATAAGGTATTTCTTGTAGATTTTTGAATGCTGAAAATGCACACGCGATACCGCAAGCCAAATAGCTTCGTTACGTTTCGAAATAATTAACGTATAATACGCAAAAAATAGCTATTTTGTGACATTTGACATTTTTACAAAAAAGATTATCTTGAAATTCTGATCAAAGTTCATGAATGTGTTGATCATCCTCTATAAAATACATTTTTTTATTTCAATAATTTACTTCTTAGCCATACTATCGAAGGATTTAAATATAAGACCTTTTTAAAATTATTAATTTCCCGCTTATGATAATGAAGTCACACGTATACTTATATTGTAATTTCTAGGTTGTCGATATACATAGTAATTTCTATATATATGATAAATTCCACTAAATTTATGGTATACATGTGTATAAATACAGAGAGGAGATATGTCGCGAGCAAAGTTATACGGTCTGTATATGTAGCAATGTACACTAGAAATTATAAATATTATATGACTTACATAAATATATAGGCAAAGACTTTACTATCTTAGTAAAAGCTAGCCTACATTTAAATCAGTAAATACTACATATTATATAGATAAAAAGTAATACATTGAAATTTAAAAAGATTTATTTTATATAAGGAATGAATAATATATTTATGACCTCTGATCACAATTTCAAGAACGTTAATATTCTTTACAAAAAATGTCAAGTATTGCAAAAAAGTTATTTTAAATGTGAATTATTTCGGAAACCTAATGCTAGAGAAATTTTACTCGTGACATGATCGTTTTCAACATTCAAGAATTTACACATAAAACACCTTCCTTAATTCAAAATAATGGAAACAAATATTTTTTTGGAAATAAATGTAATCTTTCTGTTATCTCTCTCTCACATTGTTAATCATTCAGATATCAAAAAAATAAAGATCCAATTCTTTAAATAACATTCCATTATTTTCAACTTTATATCAAAATAAATCAATTCATTATGTGGTTAAATTGGTTATTATGTTCGAAGTAAACAACATTCACATTAATGTATGCACTTATAATTAGTGAATAATGACCCCTAAATTTAAATCAATACATTTCTTGTTTTAAATTCATTAACTCTATTATTTCAGTTAAATTAGCGAGATACAAAATATGAGCAGTAACGACCTGTAGAAATGATGAATAAATAACAAAAATTAATATACAATAATTGATAAAAAAAATTAATAAATAACACAAATTAACATAATTGCACACTATGAATTTAACATCAGTATTTAAATCTCAAAAACTAATAACTCTTTTTTTTTAATCAAATCAAAATTATAAACTGCATTAAAATTCTGCAAAATGTATTATAATATCAAGATTATAACCAAACCAATTATTTCGAATTCTTTCGATTATAATTTGCACGCAAATTATCATTTCTATTATAAATGTTTATCATGTTTCCTTTATTTATACCATATATATTTCCCTTTCTTCTTTAAGTTACATATTTCCAAAAATTACAAAATAATTCTTATATTCTCTTCCATCCGTGGTATTCATAGTCAATTCTTATTTCAAGATCGTCTTAAGCAATGTCTTAAGGCATTAACGCGGCTCTCTGATTGGTTCGTGACATCTCAAAATTGAACTTAAGACAGTCTTGAATATAAGAACTGACTATGCCGGCCTTAGAAACATACAAACTAGAAGGTATCTTCTATCAAATGATGTAGTAGTTATAATGCTGTTTATAATTTTGCAATAATTAACTTTTTTATAAGATAAACAAAAATGAGCGTCTGACAAACGTCTGACAATCTTCAAAACTGACACAGTAAGCAGTAATATTCTTTAATTCTTTTTCATTCACAAGAGTCATCTGTACAAATATCTACACAGGTGAATATATATAAGAATTATATATGCATTTTATAAGATATAAATTCTATGAAGATTCTTTATTCTACTATATATATAAATTTAAGTAATAAATATATATATTTTCATTTATAAGAGCTATCTGTACAAATATCTATACAGGTGAATGTATATAAGAATTATATAAATTCACTATTCAATTTCTTCCTAGTTTATTATTGTTTATCAATTATACGGTCCTAAAAAGTTTCTAGAATTATATAAACATTTTATAAGATATAAATTATATGAAGATTCTTTATTCTACTATAAATTTAAGTGATATATATATATATATATATATATATATGAAAAAGCGTGTATGAGAATCTTTTCACTTCAATATTAAACTTTTTTACTGATGTATGTACAGTGCTGTGCAGTACCAAGATACAAGTACTTAGGTACTATTACCAGGTACAAATTTATGTCTCTAAGAACTGAAGTACTTTTTTCTGATACTTATACCAAGATATCATTTCTTGTGTATCGGTATTTAGATATATTTTAATTTTGGATGATACTTTCCTGCTAGGTAATACTAAGATAACTTTCTAATTGCCATAAAGTATTACATTTTGAGATTATCATATTTAGAAGATCAATTAGCACTAATACTTTTGAATTTTTATTTTCAATTTTTATTATCAAATATAAAGTGTTACATATGTTTTGTTATTTAGATTCTAATTTCTATTTCAACTTTATTCGATTTGACATTAAAAACTGTTACATAAATTGTACTAATAATCACTTAAAAAATTAAGGTTCATGATTTCTTTTTTATGTTATCATTCTATAATAATAAATTCATTTACACATTCAAATACTGTGTTAGCTTTTTGCAGGCATTTTATATTATTAATTTATTTAATTTATTCGAGCATTTCATATTTCATTGTATTATTTTTCAATAATGAGTAAATATTAATAAATGGATTATTATTTAAATAAAACTAATTAATGGTTTTATTATATAAGTGTTACATCATTTTATTTTATATGTTAAACTTGTGGCATATACGTATAAAATGTATGTATAATAAGTAAATATTACGTGCATATACGTGAAATATATAGATCATATTTAACATGCAAGCTGTCGTCATTTTGACGATAAAATAATGTTAAAGACGTTATTTTGTCATCAAAATGCAATTTATTCTAAAATGTTATGTTAAAAATAAAAGTACTTGTACCTAGATACTGAAAATAGAGTATCTTGCACTACTGTGTATATACATATATACGT